GAGTTCAGACGTGTGCTCTTCCGATCTAATGGGTAAATGAAGCAATTACAACGCAAAATTTAAAAAAATAACTTGATTTTTTTAATATCGTGTTTCTATAAAAAGCATTAATCTCCTAGCTGTACTCAATAATACCTCCATTTGCCAATAGCGAATAAAAAAATCTAAGAAAAATATCAGAATAAAATCTGAAACTCAAATAAAAGAAAAGGATAAAAAACGTCTGGATATATCCAGTACTCATTAATATCTCCATTTGCTAATAGCAAATAGAAAAATTTAAGAAAAATTATATTAAAATAAAATCTGTAACTCAAATAAAAAAAAAATAAGAAAAATGTCTGGATATATTCTGTACTCAATATCTCCATTGGCCCATAGCAAATAGAAAAATCCAAGCAAAAATAATATAAGAATAAAATCTGTAGCTCAAATAAAAGAACAGGATAAGAAAAACGTTTAAATATATCCCTGTGTTGAAGCTTATTCTTAATTTTTCTTCCTATCTTTCTTCTGAGGGCTCTTACTCTCGTCTCGTTTACGTGGGCTTTTGTTCTTTCTCTTCCAAGTGTCAGACCCTTCCTCTTGCTTCTGTCAAGGGGTATTCCGTAACCAGGACATCACATAGTCTTTGGCATGTAAAGATCACTCTCAGGAAATCGCGTTTGTATTACACCTAAAACATATGAAATAATTACATTTCTTACTAATAAATACCAACACAGTTTACAAGCTGTATCTATTTAGTCTACAGTTATACAATTTAAAAAGACAATGATAAAATCGAACTAATATATTTATATCAAAGAATACGCATCAGCTTGATGTTTCAAGAAATAAATTATTCAAAACATCCCACTCTGAATTTCCATACGGAAATATATATTTCTCGTATTTTTTAATTAAAGATTTGAATTTTATTTTATATATAAAAATTTTAAATTTATATTTCTTTGAATTACATTAATTACATTTAGGGATAAATTTTTCGATCTCGAATTTAATAAATAATCAGTGTAAACCAATCAGCTAAGTCAATTGCGTGATACTAAAATACGTATATGACAAAATGTAAGCATTTACATTAGTAAAGTCATATACAATTTCGAAACAGCCATTTCTTATAACTTTGTTATTTTCTTCAGAAAAAATTGTTAATACACTATATATTTATTTTATATAAAAATTAGATCATTCGTGAAAATATCAAATAGATTTATTACACTATATAATTATCATGTATATATTTTAAGTATTCGAATGATCGATCGGACAGCCACAAATTATTATATTAATTCGCAAAAAAGAAAACAAAAAATGCATATATTACATTTGTGTTGCTAAATAATCTAGTCAATCGTGAATCAATGTTTTGCTTATTCGAATTGCTATAAGAGAATCGGTAATATGACAAGATATTTTTAAGTATTGTGTTGTGCGTGCGATCGCGCAGCGTTTTACTGGAAAATTATATAGTTTAATGAATGATTACTGATTACATACATAAATGTACATGTTGATGGATATATTATTATTTTATTACTGTTTGGCGATTAAATTCGCATTTTTGACTTTTTATTTTATTAATATTATTTTCAGGGAATGTTCTGTACATACATATTTGTAGTATCTATTTATTTGTTGAAAAATATTAATTTTAAGAAAAATGAAAAATAAAAGGAAATATAATAGCATTTTTTTATTTAAATATATTTTTAGAAACTATTAAAATTGACACTTGGTAAATTCAGTGATTCGGGTTTAAGAATTAATCTTTCCCAAGTCTATATACTTAATTGTTTAAGTATTGTGTGATATAAAATGCAAATATTATTTTAGAGGAGATTTTGAAAAGCAGGAACACTAATGTATTTTGAAACTGTGTCAAACTTCGCTTGATCATCGCTGAATATCATGATAATCAACTGAATTTGATTAGCCTTCTTTAGTACTGACTGAGTCACAAAACAAATTCTATATTTTTATGTAAAAGAATGATTATATAAATATATATAGATATATATATATTTTGTAAGATAATAAATCAATCTATTCAAGCCATGGACACGCTATATTTCTTTCATATTTTAACATGTACATTATATTTAATTGTAAACATTTTATCTTTATTTTTACAAAATATAGAATATGATACTTTTGTTTATCAAAATCATAATAATTTATTTTAATATATATTGGTTATTATGTCCAAATGTGAAATATAGACAAAATTCGAATCATTAAAATATAATTTTTTTTCTTATTTGAATAGCATATGTACAAAGTATCAACAAAATAATTGTAATTGACACAATTAATTTAGAATAAGAAAGAAGAATTAGAATGCAAATAAAAAATTATATACGTTACATTGTAATAATATTTCTCTATCATGAATTGCATTAAACCTTGTTGAATGATAAAACATATATACCTATTTATTTTGATTCTTATTTTGATCGATAAGTGCATGACAATGTATCAGGAAACTCTGGATCCCAAAAACCTTTAAAAAAAATTTTATTTTGTAAGTATATATATAAAATATAAAAAGTGATGATATGAGATAATATACCTTCTGGAGTATTTGGCCTCTCGTATTTGTATCGATGCCGTGAGCATTGATTCATCCGTTTTTGTAATTCTTTTTTTGACAGTGACAAATTCTGATAATACTAAAAATAAAATAACATAATAAATTCTTCTTCTATATAAAATGTATTGTTTTTTGTATATATTTTATTATATATGTAACTATATTAAGTATTATTAATATATTGCATATTACTTTTCTGCATTCCCAGCAATCTAAGCCATTTAACTTTGCTCTATCAGTTTTACGACTAGCTGGCTTATGTTTATCTAGACTTATGGACGATGTTTTCATTTCCCTACTCATCTTGACTCTTGGAAAAAATGCAAGTCGAGATTGCTTCAATCTTTTTCCATCTGGCAAAATTGTAGTTTCTACATGATGTGTTGTACTAATTTTTAATTTTTGATTATTCTTTAAGGAGGTTCGATAGCAAAATCAAAATACTTCAATCTGTTTAAAAATTATATAGAATATTCTTTAAAACGAAACTAATATCATATTAAAATTTCGAACCAATTAACCGTATGGTTTTT